TGTCCAGTTCCAACAGCATTTTCAACCTCGCATATCAATACAAACCCATCTTTCATTTCACCATTGTTTGTCAAATTCAAATTACTGCTTGTAATGTTCAATTTCTCGCACTCTTCTTTTTGAACATTCGTTTCATTCCCTGAGTAACGGCAAAGTTTCCATTGGTATGATGTAAACGGGGGATAAGATTCCACCTTACATTCGAACTGCGTGTTGTCAGCACTTCCATTAATCTTTACTTTAGGCTTCATCAATGAAGGAGTAGAGCAGTTGACCGGATTTAACATCTTTGGATGATCTGCCACGCACCAGAAATGCCGTCCATCTAAACCTGCGACGTCTACTGCGTGACTGACATACACTCCGCGTGTAGCACTGGACTGTTCTTCAACGTGAGAATAGACAGGAAGTGCAGATGCAATGCTATGGTTAGCAACATTTATTATTCTAATGTTGACTAAAACATTGTTGCCAATAAAAGTCCTTGCAAGATATATTTACATGAAGAATGTGTCCGGCAATCATCGTTATGTTGTTACGATCTGTACGTGACGTTGAGTTGGAAAGAGTCATGTCACATCTTACGAAGGGGTTTTCGTCTAGACAATTACCCACTGTCAGCTCACCAATGTCTTCGACAGCTGTCTTTTCAACTTGACATTTGTAATGGCCTTCGTCTCGACGTTCGATATTCCTTATGCTTAGTTTATTGTTCAGTTCTTTGTATTTTTTTATTGTTACACCGTTATCTAGAACTGTTTCGTCATCAAAATTAATTAGTTCACTTTGAAAAAACCATTTCATCTTGTGTTCAGCATTATCCGCGCTAGGTGGTTGAATGGTGCAATTGAAATCAACATTATAATCTTTTTCTAGAACACACATTTTTTGTGGTGCCATAGTGACTGTAATTACACCATCTATGTGACGTAAAGCACAAATATAAATAAGAAAAAATAATAGCATAATTAAAAGATTGTTCACTATACGCTTTAAAGAATACTCTTGCTTTTTTTTTCTGCCAATGTATAATGATTATGTAATCTTCACGTTTTCTGTTTAAATTCTGGCTTTGTGAATTCACTGTTTCCTACAAGGGAAAAGACAATGAAAATACAATCAATAACAAATATGGAGTCATACCATTTGGTTTTAAAACATCTATATTGTTACCATCAACGATTGCCATTGTAACTGAGTAAACATTTTTTTAATATTATGTAAGAGTGGAAACCACTTGTCAATTTAATAATGTATACAATTTACTGTATAAACAAACTGAATGTATAAACAAACTGTTTTATTGCATAAGTAAATAAAGAGATAATCATGTTCTGGACAATGTTTTTACATTTTTTTAAATCGTTATACTCGGATATTGAACACAACAGAAAAAAGACATAAGCCTACCTTACTACCTGATAGATCTAGCGGCTCAGTTAACAGGTTGGAAATAACGTAGTTTCAAATTTGCTTACTAATTTAGGCCTGTACAGTATTATTGCATGATACTATGTTGGTTTCATTATCACTACTGAACACCTTTTTCAGTCGCTTGTCTTGTTGAGGACGCCACCTACCCACCAACTTTCAAAAAGTGAGAGGGCTCATAAAATAGACATAGGCCTACCTTACTAACTGATAGCTAGCGCCTCTGTTGACAGAGCGCAAATTACGTTGTTTCAATATGCTTATTAAGGTAGGCCTGCATAGTACTTTTGCATGTGACTATGTTCGTTTCATTATGCCTTCAAATAGTTGTAGCAAATGTGAATTGTTTATAACTGCGTTAGTAGCTACGACGTTTTCTGTACGTATTATGATTCCTTTTTAATTTTTCAGCAGATAAACTAGTTTGTACTGGTATGCACAACCATTGCAAATTTGAGCGGGTTAGCTCTGCCAGAACACCACTCAAATCTTGTTCGATGCGCCCACATCGAACATTAATTGGCTTCTTCTCTCTTCTGTATTATCACAATTCCATCGAATTTATACTATCATACCTATTTTTGAATTAAACACAATGTTTTTTAATTTCTTAGATAATTAATTGTATTTAATTAAATAATCAACTCATATATATAATAAATCAATAATCAATATATATATATATATATATATATATATATATATTCTATATTTGTAACCATTGAACTTGTATATCTGAATATTTACCGGTATATTTTAAAATTTCTTAAATAATGAAGTATTGTAAAATTATAATAAAATTAAATGTAATGCTAATTAATGATGTAATTTACACAACTAAAGCTTTTTCCTAACTTATATTAATAATTTAGAATTCCAAGCTAATTGTTTAATTTTTTCAGTATTTGTTTGCATTGTTGCTTACTTTAGGCCATGGCATTCTTTTTGTTGTTTGTTATTGTAGAAACCGAAAGGTCCACTGATTAATCTCAGATAAGACAGTATAATACATAGGCCTATTCCAAGTATCGAAATGCACGAAATCGTGTCGTGATTAAATATTCCTGATGATTACATAATTATTGTCGAAATACTGAATCCCGACAGGATGGCGTGCATTTTGATACTTGTTATTGTAGCGTTTATCATTATGGTAACGGGACCTCTTCGGAAACAAGTAGAAATGCTTAAATGGTTATCCTGAAATTCTCTTTGTTGTTTATAATTCTTTTAATTTTGTACTCTGTTTGGTTGTAAGAATTTCGTAATAAATCAAATCGAATCAAATAGTAGAGGCCCACACCTGTGTCAAAACAAGCCTTGCGACGACTAGTGGAGCGTTATCTTATGTTATCTTACGTTGATTGAAATAATAAAAGCAGATATGTAGGCCTATAACAATCTGTAAATAAAATATATTGGCCATCGCCAAAAGTAGGCCACATTTAACATATAGGTCTAATTAGAAGAAGATACAAAATGGGAGGAGCGATAAAATCCGAAGGAGTCGGAACATTTTCTCTTGACTTTGCCACATTTATAGATGGAATAAAGTGCATTTGTAAGACTGGTTATGTAATGGTAAGTATTCTACTGTTTCAGAGTAATTTGTTGAGTTGGAATCATGAGCTTTACTATAATGCTTTATACTTTTTTAATGGCGTCCCCCCAGCACAGTGAAATGAAGAGGTACCTGTTGGAGCTCCAGGGAGCAAAGTCCCTCTGAGAGAGCTTCAAAATAGTAGCCATTTTATTCCCTTATCCAAGTGATTTCAGAATGGTTGGAGATGTTTTGGATGGTGGCTGGGAAACGAAGCGCTTCTTTTGCCATCCCTTATATATGTCATTGATCCTGTGATCTGTAATCAGTGTGTGCATGATATACGCACCCGCTTACGTCAGAGTGCAATACAAATCCCATTGCGACTTTTGGAAAGGATGACATTGCTGGGGTTCCTCACCCGCTCATTATGTCATGTTTATGTCATAGCAAGTCTTAAGAATAGATTACGACAACAAGATACTGCACGTACGTGAGAATCCCCCGCTGGTAGACCCAGCTATACAGTTGAGTCTGCAGATGGACAATAGTCATTGTAAACGGAATGTCCGGCATATTAATATTGGTTAATACGGTAGGTTATTATTTCTATAAGAGACAGGTTCTTCAACGTGAGAATAGACAGGAAGTGCAGATGCAATGCTATGGTTAGCAACATTTATTATTCTAATGTTGACTAAAACATTGTTGCCAATAAAAGTCCTTGCAAGATATATTTACATGAAGAATGTGTCCGGCAATCATCGTTATGTTGTTACGATCTGTACGTGACGTTGAGTTGGAAAGAGTCATGTCACATCTTACGAAGGGGTTTTCGTCTAGACAATTACCCACTGTCAGCTCACCAATGTCTTCGACAGCTGTCTTTTCAACTTGACATTTGTAATGGCCTTCGTCTCGACGTTCGATATTCCTTATGCTTAGTTCATTGTTCAGTTCTTTGTATTTTTTTATTGTTACACCGTTATCTAGAACTGTTTCGTCATCAAAATTAATTAGTTCACTTTGAAAAAACCATTTCATCTTGTGTTCAGCATTATCCGCGCTAGGTGGTTGAATGGTGCAATTGAAATCAACATTAAAATCTTTTTCTAGAACACACATTTTTTGTGGTGCCATAGTGACTGTAATTACACCATCTATGTGACGTAAAGCACAAATATAAATAAGAAAATAATAAATAATATATTTGTTGAATGGACTATATTATTAATTTTGGCCAATTCGGTGCTCCTTATTAATAGTCCTTTTATTATCCCATTTCTGTATTATTTTCATGATGATCGGATTGTATGTACTTACAGCATCGTTTGTAAGTGATAATGCTCGACATTTACGAGTACAGAATGTCATCACGCATATTATCAGAAAATTACCATGCTAAATAGTACAAATCAATTAACTAAAAATTCGAATTAAGGAAGGTTTAAGGGAAATTCACCCTCTTGCATCGTCCAGGGTAACTTCCCAGAGACTTTTACTCGTTTAGCACATTCACGCCCCTCTTTCTTGCGGGCCTGGATCCTCCCTGAGATAGGTTACCGTGTCAATACTTTACATTTGTATTCCTTTAAGGCGTTGTTCATCTCGTTGGTCCTGGGTCGTCTCCTACAGTGTCGGAATGAAGTGATCGTCACTATGCTTGCCGTATTTTGTTCCCTTTGTAAAGTTTCATTGATTAAAGAAGTTAATAAATTGAAGCTATTCAAAGTTGACTACATAAACTTTGCTTAAGGTGTATTTAATTTATCCAGTATAGCCATTTATTTAACTAAACTGTCTTGCTTTAATTATAATAGTGGCTCAGCTGGTGCATTGATAATCTCACAAATATGTCCAATTAATAGTCCTGGGCGTGTATGTGTACCAAAACGAAAACATGAGGTAGGTCAAAAAGGTAACCCTTTTTTATTGTTACCCAATGGACGGTTCCGCTAGGTCCCCACACCTATTGATCAGATCCTACATAAGAAATAACATCTGATCACCCCACCTCTCCCAGCAAAAATATAAAAAGGTCCACATTTACTGAAAATGTACTGAATATAAAATTTGATATTTTATGTTAACAAAAGTAAGAGAATATGAAATCTTCACATTTTATTGGAACCATACAACGCACTATAATACCAAAGCTTCGATCCAACCATCCCGTCAGGGATGAGACCCCATACCCTATTGCTCCATATTTTTGCATACGCAGGCATCCCCACCCCACCATAGCATTTCTGGTATAGCATCTGTGTATAGTTTGTCATTATTGTTATTCTATCTGTTAGTTTGATGTTCGTCATTCCGCAACTATTAATTATGCTTTAGAAACGTAGATGAAAAAGAAAAAAAAACAAATAAATAAATAAATAAACATCGCACTTTTACATTGTCTTTTGTCAATATCAGATAGTGAAGAGAAGCAATGCAGATAAAGTGCCTTGCCGAAGAACACAAGTGCACCAAACCGCTTCCACAATATTCTGTGAAATATTTCTGTTGGCGTTTAATTTGTTTAAAATTAATATATTTATTTTTGAATTGACAGATAAACTTTGGAATTACTTCTGCAACAGGCATTTTGACTGGTCAGTAGTTAGGAGTAAATCAGCCGAAGAAAGCAATTGAATTGGTGAAAATTACATTGTTGTTTGTTTGTATGTATTCTTTTAAAATACCGATATTTTTTAACGAAGAAGAATAAACTGTTGCATCGATAGATTGGAAATATTCATATTATATTCAAATTCATGTTATTTTTAAAATTAATCAATAAATAATCGCAATAGCATATACAGGAGCAAAAAACAAACAATCTATAAATTGTCTTAGTTTGATCCCGACAAGACAAAAAGAAAATAAGAAAATATAATTATAGGTATATTTTAAAGTTAACTTTAATGAAATAATTGTAGTACTATATACATTTCTAAATACTTTTCATCTTTCTTTCGAAATAAATTGTTTTAATTAAACGTTTTAATTTTGTTGTCACTATCATTCCATAATTTAGATCCATAGAAGAAAATTGACTTCTTCCCAGGCTACCAAATGGAACATGTATTTTGAGTCCTTTAAATAGTAATAATGAGTATTTATAGGATTTTGGAATAATAAAAGTATAGAAATTAGAAGTGGACCTTCATTACCTTGAAACGTAATAGAAGCAAATGGCATTATGTTGAACAGATTGTTACATTTCAGTGGGATATGCAGTCGTTGTCTCCTTCACGTTGCTAGTGCTTCGAAATTACATTGGATTTGTTTTTACAAACAATCAGTATGTTTTCATTCTTCCATATTAAGTTTATATTACGGCGCAACATACCAAACCCGTATTGTATTATTGCTGGAAACAGAGAAGATAGGCTTACTGTAATGGCGGGCGTTTCAAATTTTAATTACTGTAGGCCTAAAATTATTGCAAATTACTGTATATTATTTTTATATTATAAATTCTGATGATGTGATTAATTACAAATGTTGTGCCTTAGCCAGTCAGTTATAGTACTTCTTGGGTGATATACTGGCTAATATTGCAATGAATTTACTTTTTAGTCATAAACACAAATGTATGCTATACAATGTACAGTAGATACAAATCTCTTCTTGTTACAGGTTCGTGGTAAGAGAACTATCAAAATCGATATTGATTTTAATTATATTCCAATTTTTTAATATTACATGTGTAAGTACCGGAATTTTATATTATTCAAATATTAAAGAATTTGTGTGAGGGTTGCTGTTGTTGTTGTTGTTGTTGTTGTTATTGTTGTTATTTTTGTTGCTGCTGTAGTTTTCATTTCTTTATTTGACCACGACAAACAATTCTAGAGAGTTTCGTTCATATCCATTTATTACTGTTTTAGATAAACACGCACACACACACATATACCCCCACACACACACTCTGATATCTTATAGGAGTTTACATTTGCGTTTGACATGGTATGATATTTGAGATGAAAGTGGAAATGTTTACGTTTGTAGGCGAAATGTTTTTTTTTTAATTTGTGGTTAAACAGATTTTCAAAAACTTGTGTGGTGCTTTCTTTTTCATTTGTGGTTTTTTTTTACATTTTTGGGCCCTACAGCCACCAAATTCATACCCGAATGTAGATCGCCTCCAAAACAAACAAACACAAACAAAATTCGATGAAAATATCCTTGCGGAGGTAATAACAATACATTTCGACAAAAAGACCTCATGAGAATCAGAATCACTTTATTGTCTCCAAAAGAAGAAATTGTTTTTGCTCGATAGATAAACCTTTAAAATACATTAAAATACATTCATAATAAAAATACAATACAAAATTACATCACAAATTCAAAACATTAATTAATTATATACCATCTAAATATATATTATCTAAAATTAATTCTAGGTTTTAAGTGGTATTTTCACACAGTAGATGGACAATAGAAACAAATCACGTAAACACGGACCGAACATAGTATTAAATGTTGTGTTATGCCACAATTAGGCCTACAACCAAGTAATAGGATATCGTCTGAATTAAAATTATTTAAGTTAAAATCTGGATTTTAAGTGGCATTTGAAATCATGGTATTTTGGTGATCTTTACAACCAGAAATGGCAGGGTTAAAAAATAACCGTCCATATTTCAACAGAAACCTTGCATTTGTGCGAAATTTCAGTACCTAAGGTTCATGAAAACACCGATGATGTTTGAATTAAACTTGTTCAGCATGATTTTCATAGCATGAAATTTTGTGAAGTAATTCGATACAGTAAAAATTTACATTTAAGCTTAATTCTAAGATTTAACTAGCATTTGCAAACATTTTTGATTCACATAGCGCGAAACAAACGGAAAATGGCGCACCTTGTCGAACAGAGTGAAGAGAGACTAAATGACAGGAATTCATAAATGTAAACTTTATTTGAACACTTTTTTAGCCATTTTTCGTTACTTACATTGTGTTTACAGTGCTTTGCAGTAAACCTAATTGGGACATTATTTAGATTTGTACAAGCCTCTCTCTAGATTAACCATAGGCCTACGCGTGAGCACAAAATAATGTTGTATAACAGAAAGTATTGTGTACAAGTGGGATTTTTTATTTGACTTACATACTTACCTCTTATCTCAATTTATTCATTCCCAAACTATCTATGTATTCTTTTATCTTGAATTGATTTGTTTGTTTGCAGGCATGCTGTAGAAACATACTTAATGCTTGTGGAAAACAACACATTACCGGGTTTGCCTCCTTGTTTGCCAATACAACTGTGAGCCTTCCGTCTGTTATCAATTTTGGCTTCGTTTTACGTTGGAAAATAATTGGTAAGCCTTAAGTTATGCATTAACCATTATATCTGTCTCTTATAGAACAGCGTGCAACATACTTTTGAAGTACAGTACTATGAAGTAATACACATGTTTATTCGTTAAAAATTCGCAATTGAATTTAAAAATTTATTCTACGAAATTATTTATACGAACATGCCGTTATGAATCGTTGTTTTGCTGAAATAATAACATACATTTTTTTTCTAAAGGTCTTTGGGCTGGATTGGATTTTTGGTTTGTCATACCATTTTCTCTATGGTCATACAGGCTATCATTCTGTTATTTGCTATAAGTCCAGTGGATTTTGAAAAAAGAGGCACACCTTGTGATTATAATGGACAATCGAGATCTTTGGCTTGCTTTACTGATATAACAATAATACGTATACAACCTATGGGGTCTAGTCAAGTGTGAAACAGAGTTTCCCCAAATGGAGTTTAGCCTTCTGCGTACTATACAGATTACTAACAAACGGGCCACTGGCGTTTTATTGACATGCGAATCTGATTAAAACATCCGATCTTTCACACTCATTTGTTTCTCATGCGTAATTGAAAAGTACTAGTTCTACATACACAGAAGATCCACGCCTTCAGATCTTGAACAAATTACTTCCTTACACCATTAGTTTCTCTCATTATATATTGTTCGATAGGCTATATTTTTATATAAATTATATATTTTGTAATTAAGTGTGCTCCTGAGCTTCAGACATGTTCTGTAAGGGTCGCCCACTCAAAATATGGTAAATAAGTCCATAAACATAACTACAACCCATATGCTTTTAAGTTCCCCCTCACACTCCCCACATTTAGGCCTACTTAAGAACTGAACTCGATTTAAATGGGTACGATTTATAGGCATAACTTACAAAATCCTTTGTGTTATATCAACCAAAACTAACTCATCATGGGAAAGTATATCTAATTTCTTAAATGTGCTGAATTATTTATTATACCAATTATTATATTTTTAACAATGTCATGTTTTCTGTGGCTATTATATTTAAGCCAGACACAAATTATAAATTATTATTATTGTAACTATCTTGGTAATTTTGGTGTCTTTCAAAACAAAAACGTTTTTTTACAATAATATATTTTATGCTGTATTTATTTATTTATTTATTTATATTAGGCCAAAGAAAGGTGTGACGTTTTACAATTTGAAAGAATTGACCAAGAGAGAGGTTTGATCAAACTTTGTCTCGAGAATGATGAGGATGAAGCTGGTAGCTGTAATATGGATATGTCTGAGAAGACTTCTCTTGTCTCACCGGACAACGTCGAAGTAGATAAAACAACTATACTGTTTAGGTGTTTCAACTTTTTTGTGCCACTGTTCATCGTTGTAACAGGTTTAATTATTTATTTAATAGGGCTATGTAGTAATGGCAACTACTGAAATAGAAAAAGCATGCTAGAAAAAAGTATACAACCGACATATATACAGAATATTTATAGTAACCATGGTGGATCGAGTACTATTACCTGTTCTGGAAGGGGCTGTATAATAGGGCCTACATAACGTAGATTAAGACTAATATCATCAAATTGTTTACAAAGATAGCAGGAGCTATCAAAATATCTGTTCTATTTTATTATATTTTAATAAATTTGTGTTTAGCCAGCTAAACTTCAATGATTGTACATCGTCTTTTCATTGTTTTTACATTATATATAGATGATGTATGGTTACAAATTCAACATTTTATTGCACTGCAGGCTGTTTCATGAGTACTTCCTCAATCGTCAGGTGCTAGGCTCTGAATGAGACTGCAGAATGTCAATCATACATGTTGGAACTGCTTATTGGTATAAGGTTTATATTGGTTTATTGGTATAACCATTAGTATTCATAGGGGTAATTAGAAGATTAAGATTAATTGTATTTAAGTTGTATATATTAGCGCCCCTCAACTGATCATCGAGCACTCCCCCCCCAGCCCCCCCATCTAGATACGCCACTGACTTACATGGCCAGATGAATGAAAATATTCAATCGGTGTGCCACCAAGTCGTAACCAGCCTTCACCATGCCCTCACGATGTCACCGGGGACGCAACTACCAAAAAAAAAACTATTTTTGGCAGCGAAGGGATAAACAATCAACAAACTACCGGGTTTCTGGGTATGATTTGCAAGGTACTACATGGCTCAACTATTTTTTACTTAGGGGTTAATTGGTAAAAATCGCACACAAATCATACGACGTCGCTGACAAGGCCGGGGACGGCAACTCGTTTTGAGATTAATTTTCCGAATAAAGTCATACTAAATAACTTCTGAAGACAAAATATGGTCTTCAGTTGTATTTGTTGGTAATTCAACTGTCATTTTATCTATTTTTTCGGTGATATTACCATTCTCAATAATTTGTAAAACACCCACATAACAACGTAACGTTAGATCGGTCGGTGGGGACGACGTAGTGACGCCGGTAGGGTCAGTTCCGTCGGAAGATATCAAGAGGATAAACAGTATCATTGGACTAAATTCTTGTTTATGTTAACCACATGCTTACCTAAGATTATACTGGCACTGTTTTCAAATCACGGTCAAGTAGTTAAAAATCACCAAAAATCACCTTATTTTGCAAATTAGCGCCCCTCAACTGATCATCGAGGCCCCCCCCCCCACCAACCACTTCACCTTCGTCCACCTCATCAGTCTCCCATTTCAAGACATCTAGATACGCCGCTGGCTTACATAGCCAGATGAATGTAAATACTGAATCGATGTGCCGCCAAATCGTAACCAGCCGTCACCATGCCCTCATGATGTCACCGGGGACGCAACTGATATTATTATAAAATATCAGGCGCAATAAACACAGTGATAAAATGTACTACATAATAAGTCCTATGATTGTTTATTCATTTATATGTATTGACCTTTTATTATTTATTTATTGTTTATTTAATAATATAATTTATCTATTAATATTTTTTATTTTATTAATATTCTTGACCTATAAAAATATAAATTTTAACATGCAACAATTTATGTTACCTTTATGTTTCTTATGTAGACCTATATGATTTTGTTGCTAGCGGCACTTTGGAGAGCTCCCAGACAGGCCGAACGCCACTTTTGAGCAATAAAAATTTTTAAAAAGGAAACTTAAAACTACGAGGTGTTTTTTCGGCATGGGATAGAACGCCCAACGTATATAACTATTATAGAACTCATATGCCAACGCATAAAAACTACAAATGGATGCTTCTAAACTTCTTCAACTTTGACATTGATCATGCCAGAAGTTGCGAGCAATATAGTCGTTAGAATTGTTATGAAAAGTACCAGCAACAGTATTATAAAATCCAATTTGCGCAGTCGCCGTTGCCTCACTTTCAAGTTCTCCGCATGGGCGTCATTGCCGACAGCAGATTTCTTTTCAGTTGCACACTACAATGTCAGATATTGAAATAAAAAATGATAATTAAAAAAAACAATTACGTTGATAAATTTACATCGGTTTTCACATTTAGTTTTGACCAATTAGTATGTTTTTTGTGGGGTGGGGGCGGGGGTGTGGGGTATCAACCGTGGCACTAACTACCAGTTAGCATCGAAGAAAAATTGGATTGAAGGAAATAGCAACAACTAAGCCACATTCGTTGTACTGACTGGTAGTTAGCAAAACTGTTTACAACAAAAAGTAACAACAACCAAAATATTTAGTACAGATTTGTATATTAACTTTTTATATATATATATATATATATATAACAAAACAGGAAATATTTAAAACTCTCAAAAATTCTCAATCCATCAAGAAAGATATGCATATCATTATCTTTATCATCCATCATCAATCAATCAATACGAATTTATTTCCAGTTTCCAAAACAATACAACGAGAACAAGTTACAGTATCAATCATCAAATAATCACCAGCACTATCGTTATAATTATCATCAACACCATTATAATCATCATTATCATGATGATCATCTTATCATCCATAATCTTCATCATCTCATCATCATCATCATCATCATCATCATCATCATCATCATCAGCAACTCTGACTTCAATTCAGAGGTTTTGGCATGCCCAATTCAAGGGTTAATCCCACTACACCGTAGTTAATCTTATCAAAATAATAATAATAATATTTTAGGCTAGTTATCTGGAGGTTGTGGGTTCGATTCCCCCCAGAATCACTTGCAGTATTTGGGAACGTACTGAGTATTCCGTACGACAGCATATCAGGTGGGGAAAAACACCACTCCTAGGCCTATATGATTATATCTACAAAAAAAAAAAAAAAAAAAAAAAAAAAAAAAAAATATAGGACTAACCTTTGTAATCCATATTTTTGCTGCCACTAAACAAGACAAGGTTATTTGTGCAATTACGGATACGACTATGGTAGTAGCCGTTATGTAATACAAGTAGTTGACTGTTAAATCTGCTTTTACAAAAAATACCGCAATGTTTACAGTCTGCTGTAGTCCCGCCACTTCCAAGATTCCTTGTGATGTAGTTTCGTGCTCATTGAGACGTTGTATTTCATTATTCGCATAGTTCTACAAAAAAGAATACGAATTTTGTGTAATGCCTAACAATAATTATGAAAGTAGTAATGAGAATAGCAATTATAATATTAAATAGAAATTATGATAATAATGATGACGATGATGATGATGATGATGATAATGACGATGATAATAGTAGGCCTAATAATATTTAGAAAAACAATTAGTATAACAAAGTCTTGATTAGTTATAAATAACCCTGCTTAGGGTTGGGAGGATGAGTAACACCTGTCAATGTTTTATACATAGATTGAGGCATCCAAAATTCATGTACAGTAATACAATACTAAGAGTACAGGTCCGCATAGTGTACACTATAGGAAAATTATTATACGAAGGCTAGATTTAATGCTTGAAAACAATTCCTGAAGGTCTGCAAGGCCCGAAGGAAATTTTTGAATGCATTAAATTATAATAATTTTCATTTAGTGTACGATGCATGCTCTACTAATTGCTTTATAAGTCAATCACCGTCTTTTAATTTTAGTTTTTGATAACCAACTAGTGCAGCAGTCATCGGTTGCTATAGTGATTTGATCAGTATACTGTGTGCGTATTTACATTTAACTGTGCATATGCTGATCTTTGCCTTTGTACGTACTATGGTACCACTGATTTCTACTATAATACCGTAATCGCGCGAATAAGCGCCTCAATTGAATAAGCGCCCCTCATAACGTGAAAATTTCCTTAAGCGCCCCGTTTGATTTTATTTTAATTTGAATAAACGCCCCCCTCTCAATAATCCAATCAATCCTGGGACTGTGGATGTTGGTATGATTTGAGGTGTGGAGGTAGAATCACATTCCCCTTTAGTCAATATCAAAATGAGGATATTTATCTTGGACAAATGAGAGCTCCTTCTGGACAGACAGTACATTTCCAACTCTCATCTTCTTACATTTGTCTATCTACTAGTCCTACTCCTTTTCCGACAATTTGCACCTTTAACACATTCTCATCTGAGTTTTCAAGAAACCTGCAATGATCATGCCGTCCTGCTAATCTCAATCGGCCGATGGCCAACAAACTATAGAACGACCACTATTAATTTCATCTGCTGTTATGTAATACTGTACTCACAACATTCTTTTCATGACAAGTCATGATCTCTGGACGATTATCTTTTCCGCCGCACAACCATTGGTTTGCGGTTTCCTTGTGTCCTTATATAATCGTTTTTCATTCAAAATGTGCCTTTTGAATTTAATAAGTTCTCATAAGAACTCGATTTTCATCTATTTCCACTCTGTTTTCATAAGTGCCCCGTTCGAATAAGCGCCCCTCAAAAATATTTAAAATATTTTAAGCTCCCGGGCGTTTATTGGAGCGAGTACGGTAGCTGGATTGCTCATCGGCCAATCCTGGTACAGAAAAAAATGAGGCCTCCAACGTCATGTTGGAGGGCCTAAGTGACGTACCAGTTTAGAAAAGTTTCTTTTGGCATTTGTTTAATAATAAGTCGCGTTGTTATAGTGACGTTGATCCCTAACAACACAAATAACTTATAAGATCTTTGGTTTAAAACTTGCATTATAAAGAGAAGGGCGCTGCGTACGTCTGGACCAATTTGTGCCTTATTTTTTGCTATGCGAGTGCTCTATCTTGTGTTCCTAGTATCTTTGACATCAGCATAGCAGTACATAACAGTAGGCCTACGGATACGACGAATAACTATTGCAATTTTGTGTTAGAAAGATGCTATTTTGATCGACATTCGTCAAAGAAATAAACATTTCAGCATTCGAGAGAGAATAGTCACTGACCTCCTTTTTGGTCGGTGCATGCAGACATGTAAAATCGTGCAATGATTTCATAACTAGGCTAGGCTACGGCCTAGTAGTAGTAGGAGGAGGCCTGGGTGGTCTCCTGCCTGGCCGTAGGCCTACATCTAAATTTGTTCCTTGAGTCGTTAAAATAGGTCTAGAATATTCCTATTAAACATTCAGTTTGTTGTGTTTATGAGGGTCCACTGATTCAATGAATTCCTTAATTGTTCATACTTAATATTGAATTTGAAGTAACTTTCTTCGGGTTCTAATTAAGCTTGTTTTACGAATTCAATTTTTATTGCGGTGTGTGATGTGTTCGCTGTGGTGATGAAAAAATGAGGAATTTTTTTTTGCACACGAACCTTAAAAAAATCAAGTCAAGCGTCCAATAATACAAATTATTGGATGCTGGGGAATAGGCAAATAACTTTGAGAGTTACAGTGATGACGTCACGATTGACTTTTAGTGCAAGATTTTAGTTAGGTAACTTTACTCAGGAAACGACTCTGTTAAGAAAGTGAGTTTGTTGTTAGTGGGCGAAACTGAATATTTTAATGGTTGTGCTATCAATGTAGATGTAAAATGTTAATATTGTTTATTTTGTACCATTCATCCAGTAAAACAATTACAATTTTATTTGAAATATGGCGAATAAAAAACTGAATTGAATTCATGTTTCATACACAACCTCAACCACTACTTCAAAAACAGAAATTGATAATATAGTTTACAACAGTGTGCTGTGGTGTTTGATATAGGCCTATTATACAATGTTTATATGGTACATACCTTTTATCTGATCTTTGTCAATGTCAAGTTCCTCAGGTTTGTATGAATGACCTTTTACCACCTCAAAGCCAACTGATTCCAATAACTTCACGTTATCTTCTAATGTTAGTCGGTTATAAAACTTGTACTCGTAACCCTGAATGAGAATTTAATTTTAATTTATTTGAAGATGAAAAATTGGACGGAACATTATATTAAATAATTTAATTGTTGATATAGAATAGTATGTTAATTGATATAGACATAGAAACAATTTAGTCTTTCCTAGAATACAATATTTTGAAATTAGCGAGGAAAGATTTGATCGATCTTTAAAAAACAAAGTAGGAACATTAGAAGCATCGAAAATATTTGTCTGTCAACGTGTCAAGCATTGCATCCATAATAATATCCGATCTATCGGTAGAACAGTTTTCAACACAACACTGTCAATCAATCAGAATCTAGGAGTAGGCCTATTAGTATGTGAGAGAGGGGGTGGGGCGAGGGGGATTTAGCTGACAAATTAGAGTGAAATTAGGTGATTTCGTACTACTTGAGCGTAATTTCTAGTGGGGGGGGGGGTGCTGAGCTTCTTTTATTTAATTTCCCCCAATTCAATCAATTCAATTTTATTAGCTACGAATTTCATTAAGGGCAATTATCCGAATCAACAATTATTATTTACAATTAACAAATAATAATACGATTATTAAATAAAAGGATTTTTAATTAATGGACTAATTAAATTGTTGTCAAAATTAAATTTAATTAAATCATGGCTTGCTTAATATCAGAAGCGGAAATGGGTCAACGTTCGGAGCATAACTTAGGGATAGTGAATAAGAAAAGGGGATAGCTTTGAAATCAAAACGTTTTTGCGTGGAATTGGAGATGGATGATTGACGGTTTTTACAAAGAGACATAGACCTAGACATTGTTCTAACAGGTGGAAGGAAAAAGTTAAGCGGATGATCAGAAGATTGGACAATTTTGCAAACAAATTTAAGAAGAAAGTACTTTTGTATTTTTTCAAAAGATGTGATGTTAAATTGTAACAAAAACAGGAAGGTAAGTTGAGGAAGTGCAGTCGTTAGAAATTAATCGCTAACAGAAATTACTAGAACATTCATTAGAGTAAAATCATATTGTACTTTAAGGTGTTCTCTCCATTTATCATGATTCTTCAAGTAATGCGGAAGTTCATCATCACCATGTCCCAGCATTTGATTCATCGGACCGGAAAATAGAAGGAAGCACTCTCCACCAGGTTTTAGGCAGTCATGGATACTTTGAAACGCTCCTCTCTGATCTTTCACCCAGTGCAATACGAGAATAGATACAATCTTGTCAAATGCGCCTTTCCAGTCTGGAAATATGTCAACACAGCTTAAGACATCTGCCACTTCGTAGGTCACATTTGGACGTTTATAGTTATGTCTGGCAAAATCGATCATCTCCTTTGAAATGTCAAAACCTTTATAAAAAAAAAAGGGGGAAAAAATACAAAATTATGTCTTATCATTATTTCTTTTCTATTATCGTATACTGGTTGTTACGTTTTTACTTGTGACTTAAAAGATCATATGTACAGCAATTTAGAATAATAATCTAAAATCGCATAATATAAATTATTTAGGCTATCCTTTTTTGATGAAAATCAACGAATTCTAAACCCCTCCCCCAGCCCCTACTGAAAATTTCTTGAGCAAGAGATTACACCCAGGAAATAAAAAAATATTTCTATCAGCTCATTTTGCCGGTTAGCGCCTCTCACTTTTCCATCTCGCGCCTCTATTAATTAGCTCCTACTTTAAGCCAATACAGTAGAACCTCTCCTTTGGGACACCCCTATTTAGGGGACACTTTTCCGTGAAACGAAGGGCAATATATCTTTAACACTACGGCCGGCCCCTATTAAGGGGACACCCCTATTATGTGGACACCCCTATTAATGGGACAGTGACACTTTCTGACTGTGCCAAATGGTGAAATAACCCCTAATAAGGGGACACTTAATCATTGTAAATTCATTCAGCTTCATATTTTAACGCCTTTTGAGCAATAAAATAGACTTTTGTCCACTGAATCCTTAAAATAAACGTCGGTATAGCAGTGGCGTATCTAGGGGAGGGCGTGGGGGCGCACGTCCCCCAGTCGCCCCAGAGCCATAGATAGAAAGAGTTGCGACATATTCTTATTATATCTCTATGGTTGCGACATAGAATTTAGAAGCCATTTTGTGTCATACGCGATGCACGTTCTGTGTCTAACGTGATGTGCGTTCCTGTGTATAATCAAAGACAATAAATAGCAGAAGATAGAGCAGCTTCCTAATATAGTGGAACATCCGTTCAAAAGGCATTGTGGGTACACGGAAAGCGATTTTACTGTAACCGCGCGGCGGCGCTATATAAAAATAATAAAGGCGCTGCTCTTGTTCGCTTGTTCCCTTTAGTTTCTCCACTTAATAAAATGTTCACATTTTACTGCAACCGCAGGAGGGCGAATGTTCCATCGATTTTAATGCAAATACGCGGAGCAGCTCATTCTTCTGCTATTTAAGTTCATTGGTATAATATTGTATAATACAGTTAGCGGCCTCCTGTATAGTTTAATTCCATTTAATCTTTTTAGCAGTCGAATTTCATGTAACTTTATTTATAGATTTTTTTTTAATGATTTCACTACTTTATATCGAATTTCATATTATAAATACTGTAATAATTTACTATTTTTGAGCAGTTCTTTAATCCTCGCCGATAGACCGAGAGAGCCCTTCGATGGCAAGCATTCTTCAATTAGGAAATCCTGCCATAGGCCTATAGACCCTTAAGTAGCTCCTGTTATTTTTGCAAATAAATGATATGTAAGACCAGCAAAAATTAATTAAATATGTATATCAAAATGTAGGCCTAATTAAAATCCGTATATAGGGTATATAGATTGATGCTCTTTAAATTAGAATATGAGCGAGCCCTATACAAATCTTATGTTATTAATTTGATTATTATTATTTATAAATATTAAAATAGTATAGGTCAGTTGGCCGCAATATATAAATTGTGCTTTGCTGTAAATGTTATAAATTGTACGTGTTAAATGACTTACAGGATCATATTCAACTTGTGTAAGTGTATAATGTTTATTATTGTATTAAAAGTCTCTGTTTTAATATTGTATTATGGCTGTACAGTATGTTACTTTTATGAACACACTGCAAGAGCGTGTCTGCTGTTTTAAAAGTGTTGTTTCCAAAATAAATTTATAGTAATTATAAAATTGCCATGTCAATTTTGGAGTGACATTCACACTATTTGTACTTAAGTACTGGTACGCATCCTAATGGTTAAATTGC